ACATAATTTTTATCAACCAATTAAATGCAATTATAATTAATTATTGATTTTGGAAAAGTTTGTGTCAAGTTAAGTTGTACAGGAATACATATTCAAATAAAGATCATTTAAAAATAAAACAAAAATGTTTAATACAATTATTTTACTATTTTAGACAAATTCATTTTTAATTTGGAACTTTATAGTAGATAAACTTTAATTTTAAATAGAATATTGGTTTTCAAAATAAAAAATTATATAAACTAATTAGAATTACGTAATCTAAATAATTATACTCGGTATTTTCAATTCAAATGTTCTGTTTGTTATTTATTAGTATAATGATCGAAAAACATTACCGTCATCAATACACAAATAAAACATAAATTTATAATTTACAGATAGTATAATATATATTTTTCAAGAAAATAATAAACCATATTGGTTAGGTAATTTATAAAATTAGTGCTAAGTCAGCATTTATTACTAGTTGGTTTTATTTTTATATTATAAGTATTATGCAAAAATATAATATGAACAAGACTTATCAAATATGGTTTACTAGATAATTATAATTTTTTAATAAAAATAAAGTTAAAATAGGTAACAATTGTCTAAAAATTTTATAATCATAAACAGTTTTACAAATATGTTATGTAGCTAGTTAAATAATAATAGTAAATACACCTACCTATCTATACTAAAACTAATGTAATAGGTACTAAGGTTATTTACCTAAAAAAAAAATAATTGTGAATTAAAATAAAATGTTGAAAACACGAGTCTTAGTTATATGTATAGCACTTATACGTTTTAAATCAATAATAATTATTATTATATTCGGCTATAAATTATAATATGGCTAGATTTGCATATAGATTATGGATAATTTTCATTAGTAAATTCTTTAAGTTTTTTGTCATTTGTCATAGATTAATAATGTTAGAGACTGTCTAAATAAATTTGCAGATATACCATCAAAATTATTAGCAATGAGTTCCTGGCCCATAGAATTATTCAAAAAACTATTTTATGTGATATTTTTTTTTTTATGATTTTACTAACATTTAAGAAATTATAGTATTTTTTAAATTAAATTTGATAAATTAGCTATAATTTGCAATTGCTGCATATTTCACAGTTTTTTGTTGAATTTATTTCAAAAAGTTACTGTCTTTAAAAGCACACACACTTTAGAGGTGGTATTAAAATGTATTCGGACATAATTTATCACTGTAGTGTAAGACAATAGAATTTTACCATTACTGCTGCAGTGTGTTTGGGTTTTTTGATTATTTTATTGAAATGAAATAATTTATGATGCTATTTTGTATGAATATAAACCAATTTTGAATTTGTACAGTTTAGTTGCATTGTTATACTTGAAACTTATAGTTTATATTGTTATATAAAATGTTTATATATAATTTATATTATATACACATAAATATTTTAAATTCATTTATCATTTTTTGATTACATAAATGTTTAAATTCATTAACTTTTTTTGTTTTTAATTAATCAGAGTTAGTAAATTATAATTTTAAAAGCTTTTTATAAACATTATCTGGCTAAAAATTGAATACACAAGATTTTTTTTCCAAACATTTTATACTATTTAGATCATAATATTACATGGAAAAATCAAAAGAATTTGACTAGTTGAGTAACTAATAACAATTCGTCTCTATACCATATCTGGCTTTTTCAATGTAAAACTTAAAGTTTTTAAACTTATATTTCAAATTTTACAGAATTTTTGATTAAAATATTAAATAGGTTGCTGCCAGATAAGTTAATGCATTAAACAGATTCCTAACTATATAATTATTTTATTCACACAGCAGTTATTTATTTTTACTTTATATCTGTACTGTTTTAATGTTTATTTACATTGACAGTCAATATAACGGCAACTTTACTATATTATACTCATTTGACAGGCATAATTTCATGACATAGCAGGTAAGCAACTACATCAGTTTTTAAATAACAGAGGCATGTATATATATTACGTTTATTAGATAAGTAAAATTCTTAAAAATTATTTTTATGTTTATACACATAATTCCCAGTGTTATTTAATATTATTTACTTGATTAATTGAATGACATAATAAGTAAATCATTAATAAGTGAGAATCACTTGGGAATATATTGGATTGTTAAAATGAAACTTGTTAACTAAAAATAATTGATATAATCCAAAGTATAAGTCACGTATGATGTAAACAATTGTATTTCATGATTAAAATACAATTCATCCATTATTAAATTGATTTATAACTCTACAATTCTTAGATGAAATAATATATGACAAATATACTCTACAATATTATTGGGTTGATACTTTCAAGTTTCAACCAGTATTGAAAAAATAGTCATCAAGCAAGACTAAATATATATAAAAATAACAACACAAATAAACTACAATATTTATATACATATACTTTTTAAGCTTTTGTAATCAAATAATATTTTATATCTTTCAAAACCCAATTAAAATTTTATGAGTATACCTGTTCTTATTAAAAGTACCTATTAATTTCCTATTTTAAATGTAAATTTACAGTTATAATACCTAAATATTATTAATGTTTGATATTCAAGTAAGTATATACCTTTTTGTTTATAATATATTTATTACAAATAAAATGATCTTAAGTTCAAATTGAAGAAGTTAAGAAGTGTCATCGAAAAATAGATAACAAACATTTACTCTTCACTATTAATTTAGTCTAAATTATAAATTTCTAAAGTTAAAAACTTAATTATTTTTAATTAATTTCCAGATACATTTTTTTTAAAAAATTTTTTCTTTGAAAACTTTAAGTAAAAATTATGCATAATATTTTATACAGAAAATTAAAGTAGATACTGTTTTTATAAAGATTAAAAAAAAAAAAAATTGTCATTCTAGATTTATAATTAATTATTATATCTGTTATACATTGAAATTAATTGATCTGTATATATTTCTGCTACTAATTATTGTTATCTATATAAAAATTATAAAAACAAAATAAATATTACTACTTTAATACACTTAACTATTATAACAACCGAAAATTATCCAGCTTAAATAATGCTAAAAGTAAACCATTTTAAATTGTTGTATAAAATTATATTTTCCATAGGACACCAACCTACATCTTTATATTTTATAAATAATACATTTCTTTTAGTTTCTTTTTCTTAGTTAAACAATGCATATTAAATTCTAAGCCACAGACAAGAAAAGTAATATATACTATTATGTTTTCAAAAATGCCAGATAAAATTTATATTTTCATGATTTGTAGGATTTTTTTATTGTTGTACCTATTCATTATAAATCAGTTTCATGTGGCATTAAACAAGAATTAAATAGCAATTAAATGACAAAAACTTAGTCCACCAGCCATTTAAAACTACAAAACTACCACACATGTACAATATTATAGCCAACTTTGATTAGCGCACTAACAAAACAAATCTTACATTAATATTTGTAATGATATACTTGTGTATGAAGAATGTTTCTATTGCATTTTATATTGTGTTGAATTTAAGGAAAGCAAATTTAGGCATAAAGCAAAAAATTATATATAGTGTAAAATTTAAATATAATAAGTAGGTATTCCAATATTTTTAATTCAAACTAATTGATATCCAATAGGCTTAGATACTTTTTAGCTATTTATTAAATATAATACATAAAAAGGTATATAGTCAGTATTAAATTATTTTTTTAGAGGTAAATCCTGATGATTTTCTTGAGGAGGTACTTATTTCCTAATTGAAACTCAGTTATTTAAATACCTAAATAATAGGTTTTTTCATTGAACTTTTAATTTGACATTTGAATGATTGAAAAATATTAGGCATGTCTATACTACTAAATATTGACATACCTTCACTTTTTACTTTTCATTATACTATACATTTGTCAATATATATTTTTCAATAAATGAGTAAGTATATGTACTTAAATGTTAAGTAAATTATATTTAAAAAAATTAAAAATGCTTATTTTATTTTCATATTACTAATAACTCTATGGCCTATTATAGAAAGAAGATGATTAATACAAATTATACTTTATAATGAAATATAAATTTTAACAATTTTTTAAAACCAAAATAAGTTAAAATAACTTAAAAATGATAAGTAAAAATTATTTAGGACATGTTTGTTTACAAACTAAAAATCTATGTTACATAATTATAGACTAACTTATTGTCAATTTGTTTAGAGACAAAAAAATGTAGAATCAATTGAAGTGTAGTTTATATATTACCTAATAATAATATAAAGGATAAACATTACTATTGTTAGTGGAAAACCTACATTTAAGTATAAATTATTCTATTGATTATAATTTATAAACATTTAAATAGGCACATAATAAATATATTTTATACTTTTAGTTACATTTCCATTTGTTTATCTATATTGTATGAAAGTCTACAACAATATTTGCAAATAATAAATGAATAAAGATACAAGATAAAAGCATAATTTTTTAATAGGATTGAAATTCAACATTTTAAATAGATACTAATTAAACAGAAAAAACTAAAGCTTTATTAGTGGTGAATAGACTATCAAATATATATGCAATAGAAGATAAATTATAAAATACAAATCATTTATAGTTTATAAAACAGTAAATTAATAAACCAACATATTTGAATAGACTAAATACATTTAGATGATTTTAATTATTATTAATTACTTAGATAAGTTACCTAATAGGTTTTGAATAATAATTATAATATCTAGGGTTTCAAATGTAATTAAACAATGTAATCAATAATTTAAAGTCAGACAATGATAGCTTTTCTTTTTATTTTTTAGGTAAAATTTATAAGTTTTTATAGATAACCTAATGGTTTCTATAAGGTATAAATAGGTCTTAACTATTGGTAATAAATGTTTAAACACTTTAAAATTCCCATTTATTTCGTTAGTGGTTTGAGGTAAATCATAAGTGAAAATTTAACATCAGTTGTGGTATATACTAACATCATGTTATCATACCTTAACATTAGTGGCATCAGAAACCTCGCGCATAATTTTTTCGAAAGCAGCCGTTTCTTCTGCTTGTTTTTGATTGTGCAAAGCAATCTTTTCGCTAAATTTTCTTGGGTTCGCCATTGTCCAAGACGCTGTTTGATCGTTTACCGGGAAGGGGGTCAACAATCGTTCAAGTCGTTAAAAACGGCACTTTATTCGTTGGACGACTAAGAGTAGCGTGATAGCTGTTACACGTTCGTCGGTACATTAATACAATTTCAATAAAACGCAGGCATTATATTTACATGACACGATGTACAATTAATTTAATGTAATACATATTTTTTAATCACTGTGGGCTCACTCGGGAAATTGCTATTCAAGAGGAACAATGAAAAAAAATAAATATAAACCGCACGAATCGATTTATTAGTTATAATTTTACTACGTTTCGCGTAACATTTATGACATTATATCGTCATGAAAACCAAAAGCCTAGATGAAATATCGGAACCATTGGCACGCACTTGCGATGACAACAGCACCGCTAACATGTCGATCATAAAAAAAAAAAACCAATAAAGCGACGGCGACGAACTGTCGATTAAAGATATTTCGTATTATTGCAGTAAACGCCGTTAATAGTAAAAACACTAAAAATAATAACTAACACAATAAAATAATAATATAATATGGAATAAAAATGTTCGGCGACGAAACAGAGGAAAACGATCGCGCACGATAACGACGTCTACCTGTTGGCGAATACGGGCGCTTATTGAAAAAAAAAAAATAATAATAATTCTCCGAATTCAACGCGATTTCAGGAGATGGTGATTGTAATTTGTGATAACGACGAAGTAGTGGGGATGTATCTTGGCAGAAAATCGTTGCCAAAGAGGTTTATACTAACTGCGCACTATCGTTGCCGGAACATTGCCTGCCCTGTACGCTGGGATTGACTGTTATCGTTTTATAAACATTTTATTTATTTATTTACGTTTGTTATCTAGAACAACGACCAGGTCCAGAATTATCAATGAAACTTCTGTGATTAGTGAGGTGGAGTGATAGACGCGAGTTAAACACGTGCGTGTGCGCTTTGAAGTTATAATAATTTAACGTATCAAGCAAATTGTCTATGTAATACTTATTGTATTATTCTGAGATTCAGTTGATGATTTCACGCTTTTAATTTACTTTTTCACTATGACTTTGGACATGGTTCCAATGATGGATCTAAATACCGGCGATGAATGTAGCAAGAAACGCAAAAAGAAACAAAACCCTGACGGAGGAAAGAGGATTAAACCACCTACTGCTGAAGAGTTGAATAAGCTCAGAGAAACGGAAAACCTTTTCTTGTCAAATATGTTTCGCTTGCAAATTGACGAAATGTTAAAAGAAGTGAAACCAAAACAAACTACTTTAGATAAAATTCAAGAATGGTTTGATAAGTTTAGTATAGCTGTGTTACAAGATATAGACATGACGGATTATAAAAAAGTAAATTTTCTGTGTAGTCACTATCTATTAAAATTTGTATTAAACTATTCCATTAACTATTAACACATTGTTACTGGGCACGTTTAAGTTATTTTAGTTAGTACCTGTAACTAATGGAGTTTCCACATTTTATTGCTTGTTTAAATATAGTTTAATTACCTTACTCATCCTAATTTAATTTTTTTATATATAACTATTAAACTTGAATTTAAATTCTTTATACATTTTTTTGAGGCTGAACTGATTGAACGTTAACCATTATATATATTTATTATGACCTAATTAATCTTTACCAAAGTATACAATATCTGTATTAAAATAACATAAATCAACCTACCACTCAATGTGAAAATAAATCAATTAAATAAAAATTAAATAATAAACTCATAATTTATTTAATTTTTATTTATGAATTAAATACTTTGTTGAACAATTTTGATTATAAAATAAATTAAAATACAATCTCTATTTTTTTTTTTTTTTGTGTGTGTGTACTGTTCAGATTTTCATTTTTAAAATTTCAGTATAATTTGCAAATGTTTTAATATAGATCTCATAATTAGTTTGGTTTAAAATTTTTCTATCTCTTTTAATTTAGAAGTTCAAATGTTTAGGAAATAAATTGAACATTTTTTTTTTGTGTTTCTCTTTACTCAGTTTGAATCTGAAATAATATTTACTTACGTCTGTTTTCAGGAATTGTTGTCAAATATTAATGTATCTGAAATTATAACACCATTTTATCTAAACCCTCAAAATAACACTGATGGAACTTTTCGTTTTACAAAGCCATGTTCTATAAAAATTGTAGGTTCCCATTCTTTAGGAACTTCCATAATGCCATTAATTAAAGTTGATATTTCAATTGTTATGGGAAAAGTAAGTATATATATATTTATATATAAATATTATATGTTTTAAACTGAAATTATTAATTGTTTTAATGTGAATGAATTATTCAGACATTTTTTCATAAAAAAGACTATGCTGATGAAAAATATTTTCGTAAAAAGGCTTTTTACTTGCACTGCCTAGCTAAAGAATTAATGAAAATACCATTTATGATTGACAATGATGATATACAGTTTTCTTTTGGAAGTAATTCATATTATTTACCTTCACTTATTGTAAAACCAATTGGTTCGTTGGGTAAAAAGTGCTGTTTTTGTTTGCGAGTTGTACCCGAAAAAGATATTTACAATTTACATAAATTTTCTCCAAATACCAACAATATTAATAGTCAATGGTATTTTAATACAAGTGCAGAAAATCATGGTAATTGGAATATATACTTTTTTATTTAAAAATATGAAATATCTATTTAGTTTAAACATTTATAATACAGATCCAGATAATTATTCAACACCTTATTACAATTCATTAATTTTACAAGATTTAGTAATGAATGAAAGTGAAATTTTGCTAAAAGAAATCATTGAAATCAATCAAAATGTTCAAGATGCTTTGATTTTATTAAAAATTTGGATTGCTCAAAGAAATCTTGGAGTGAGTGTTTTTGTGTATACACATTGATTAATAATTTAAATATTTAATTATATAATTTCTTTTAGGGGATCGGAAATATCACTAACCACATATTATCAATGTACGTAGTGTATTTGTTTAAAAAACATAAAATAAACAAATTTATGAGTAGTTATCAAATAATAAGAAATGTTTGGTTAAATTTTGGTATGTTACTTTTTTTTTTTTAAACAATTTTAATTTTAAAATTTTAAAATTATTTTTGTTGTTTAGGACAATCTAATTGGATTAATGATGGTATTACTTTAGTGGATTATGAAAGCAAAAAAGATGTTAAATTACCTTTAATGTCTGATTTCCATTCTTCATTTCAAGTTGTATTTGTTGATTCTTCAGGATACTTGAATTTGTGTGCCAATGTTTTTAAATCTAATTACATCCATGTAGGTTTAATTTAAAATTATATATATTTTTTAATAATAAAAAATTATTTGAATATTTTTACAGATTAAAAATGAATGTAATTTTGCTGTTGAAATGTTAGATAACTCGAACATGAATTCATTCTCATGTCTGTTTTTAACTAAAGCTTCTTTTCTTCAACAATTTGATCATTTTATAAAGTAATTATACATGGTAATAGGTGTTAATTAGCATATATTCAATAATCAAAATTATACTTAATACATTTTTTTAGTTTCAATGACATTAAAGTAATAAAGAATATAGTTAATCAGTACGGTGATAAAAAGTTGAAATTGGATTTGAGAGAAGATTTAGCCTTGCAATTTCAGAAAATTATAGAACCGTTATTACTTTCCAGTCTTGGTGATCGTATAACTGAAATGTGTTTTAATGTTTTTCAAGACTCTGTTGTTATTGGAAAAACTCAAGAACCATTTAATAATTTTTTGATTGGTTTAAAGTTGAATACTCAAAAAGCAAATTCAGTAGTTGAACGTGGTCCAATTGCAAATTTACCTGAGGTAGTATTTTGTTAAGTACTAAAACTTGTATTAATATAAATAAAATATTAATATTAATATACTATATGTTGTATGTTATAAATTGTAGGCTAAAGAGTTTCGCTCATTTTGGGGTGAAAAATCTCAACTGAGACGTTTTAAAGATGGAGATGTTTGTGAAGCAGTTGTATGGGCTGATAGTAATGCGGCTATTAGTAAAAAGCGCTGTATAACTAGAGATATTGTGAATTATGTATTTTTACATAAATTATCAATTTCTTCAGAAAAATATATTTATATTGCCGATCAAGCAGAATCAGTTTTGGAGAATCCATTTGTGAGTATACATCAATATTTTTCACTTGCATATTATTACATCAAAACGGTAATTTAAATTGAGTATGATTTATAGTCCATGTATTATTCCTTCTCCTTTCAAATTTTTTGCCTGTGTTCTTGTCTAATTATTGAGTATACTTTTTATAAGAACAAAATGTACATAAAATAAAATTGTTATTTATTACTACTTAAGTTCTTTAAAAGAATTGATATGATCTATAAATAATTGGTAATATTTACTTTATTTGTATATAATATAATAAACTTTAAAGTTATATATACTTTTTTTTTTATAATTTTAGATAGTGCCAGTTGGATTTGATTATGGTACTGGAGAGGCGGCTAGTTTGTGCTGTATTGATAATTTTAATGATATAGGAAAATTAATTCGTCAACTTGAAGGATTACCTTTAACTGTGAGTTCAGTGCAAGGAGTATCACCTGTGTTGAGATATGCTGATGTTATACCACCATTATCTAGAACTCATGTTGATAATAAAAAACAAAGGAAAACTAAAGGAAATTGTATATTAGCAATTACAGATGAAGAAATGAAAATAGCTCCTGGATTTGTCAAACCAATTGAAGGTGTGTACATTTGTAATAATATTATAACTTTCTTTAAACTATTTTAAATTTAGGTGTATTACAATTTGCATCAAGTGGAAAATGGCCTAATGAACTAAACGCTGTAAGAAGAATGATTACAGCTTTTTACATAAATCTAGCTGCAAGGTTACAAAAGGATTGTAATTTAACTTGTCAACCATTTGTTAATCATATAGATATTATGAAAGTATGTTTTATAACTTATTTTAATTCATACTATCATCCTAATAATATTTGATAATTTATATTTTACTTTTAGAATGGTTTTGTTTTTCGTTTTCGTATTTATTATCCTGGTGAAGTATCACTCATTAAAAAAGAATTAATGCCAGATGGTATGGTCCGGTATAGAGACACTGAAGAATCCTTGAATTTAGAAAGATCCATGGTGCATTTGCCTACATTAACAAGTTCATTGCACGCGTAATTAAAACTTAACTTAATATAATTTATTAATTCTTTTTAAAAAAATAATTAAGTTATTTGTCTTTTTTAGTCTTAGTGTTCAATATCCATCATATGGACCAACTTGTTGTTTAGCTAAACGATGGCTTAGAAGTCAATTAATTGATGATTTTCATTTCCCAGAAATGTGTATTGAATTATTAGTGGCTAGCTATTTCTTACAACCCGAGCCATTTAAAGTAACCTGCCAACCAACTATTGGTTTTCTGCACTTTTTACGCAAATTAGCAACAACTGATTGGTTTAGAGAATTTATTGTTATAAATTTCAACAATGATATTCCAAGTATTTAATTATTTTATATTGATAACATTTTGACATTATGGTAATTAATAATCAATTTTATTAATCTAGAAGATCACATTTCATCATTGGAATGTTCTATTGCTAGCCAACAAA